TTTGAGGTGGCGTGGTCTAAGGGAATCGATACCACCGGAGGAACCAGGACTGAAAGAGAAAACGGCGTTTTTTACCTCTTTTTCAGTTACATTTAAAGAATTTTGATTAGAAATATTTTCGAAAACTGAAATTTTATCGCTAATATCTGGATTTGGATGTTTTTCTTTCAACTTTAAGAGGGTTTCTTCATTTTTTGGTGCAAAAGTATCGTTTGACGTCAATATTCGGATAGCATTCTTCACGTCTCCTTCTGCAATTTTGGATTGTATTTTCTTTGCCAAAAACTTATCTTGATTAAAATTCTTAAGGGTTTTGAGTTGTTCTTTATTTTGTTCAGATTTCTTATATTGCTCAAGAAAATCAAACGTGGAAAGTTTTTTGCTTTTAATCCATAACGAAAGGTTCTTCTTGACTAAACTTGTCAATGAAGATTTTCGGGTCAGTTTAGAATTTTCAGGTAGGGCCAAAACAGAATATGGAAAAATAAGAAGTAACATCCAAGAATGTACATTATTTTTCAAAACACACTGCATTAAAATTGAGCTAAGTTCTTCGGAAATAGGAATCCTAACTCCTTTTGGAATAATTTTTATGACAGGTACTGATGATTTTAAGTTGGAGAGAAAACTTAATAAATCTATATTGTGATTATCTATTTGGGATTGTGCTTGATGGAAAGTACTTGGTAAATTTTGCGATGACTCTTCAGAATTCGTTACACTGACCATATCAGGTACATCTGTGTTTGGTAAATTAAAATCTCGTTGTTTGGAGTGAATTCTTGAATTATGAATTTTTAATCCATTTGAATTTTTGAAAAATTTCAAACATAAGGGACATTTTTTAGAGGTATCTTGTGGAATGAAATCATGCTTCTCAATTAAGTCATAATGGCCGCTTTTTGGATTTCCACTAAATAACAGTTTTATGGATTTGATGTATGATTTTGTAGATAATAAAATTGGTTTCTTATGTAATGTGTCACGAATTGAAATAAGTACTTGCGATTGGGTATAAATGTAGAAATTTAAACTACGTATTTCAGATAAGGCAAGACATTCTGCTGATGTTCCATATACTCTGTCTTTGCTCATGTTGAGGTAATATTCTTCCTTAGAAGGATATACTACATCATCGCTTTGAGAATTTTCTTTGCAGGTAAAAATTTTGAAATGGTCCCAGTTGTCAAAGATAAATTTCGAACTCTCATTTCTTAAAATTTTATGTTTTTCTTGAGTTTTATAGAGAAAAAGACTTACTGAACGAAATAAACAATTTCCATCCTTCTCAATATCAAATTTTTTGAAAATTTCATCTCCATCTGTCGACATTATTTTCGAATTTCTAAATTTCTCGGAAAACGTATTTCTTTTGGAATAAACTTTGGTTGATTTGGATTTAGTGGATTCTGGATGATATCTTGTACTTAAAATATTTCTTAAACTTCTATAAATAGTGTAAAAATATGTAAAAATTTGGTAGAAATTTTTGACTCGTTTTCAATTTTGACAACTTGTCACTTTTTTTTTTTTTGGAATTGTTTGTAAATTACGGAAATTTTCTCAATATTACAGAAAATTACGGAAAATGGAAATTATGAAAAATTACGTGAATAACGAAAAATTACGAGAATTATGGATATTACAAAAAACTATGAAAATTACAGAAATTATTGCAAACATTTTAAAATTTTCAAATGAAAAATCACTCCATAAAAAATTCTGGAAAATTGACTTATTTAAGCAAAATTAAGGAAAATTCATCCTCTTACATTTTAATTTTTTTCTGGAAAACTGGCAGAGGGAAAATTTTGAAAATTTTCCAAGAAAAAGAGGATAATGAGGAGCTCTTTATATGAAAATTTTCAGTGAGAAATCACTCTAGGGAAAATTCTGGAAAATTGACTTTTTCAAGTAAAATTAAGGAAAATTCATCCTCTCACATTTCAATTGTTTTCTGGAAAACTTGCGAAAGAGGAAAAAGAGGAAAGTCAGGAGCTCATTATAAGAAAATTTCAAAATTTTCCAATGGAAAATCGCTCCAGGAAAAATTTTGAAAAAATGACTTTTTCAAGTAAAATTAAGGTAAATTCATCCTCTCACATTTTAATTTATTTCTGGAAAACTGATAAAGCAAAACTTGTGAAATTTTTCCAGAAGAAAGAAGAAAATGAGGAGTTCATTATAGGAAAATTTTAAAATTTTCTATTGAAAAATCACTCCAAGGAAAATCGATAGGAAAGTTCTGGAAATTGACTTTTTTAAGCAAAATTCATCCTTTCACGTTTAATTTTTTTTTCTGGAAAACTGGCAAAGCAAAAATTGTGGAATTTTTCCAGAAGAAGAAGAAATAAGTGGGGAACTCAATGCAAGAAAATTTCAAAATTTTCTAGTGAAAAATGACTCGAGAAAAAATTTTGGAAAATTGAGTTATTGCAAAATTGAGGAATATTCACCCTTTCACATTTAAAGTTTTTTTTGGAAAACTGGCAAAGGAAAAAATTTTGAATATTTTCCAGGAAAAAGAGAAAAGTGAAAAGCTAATTATAGGGAAATTTCGAAATTTTCCAGTGATAAATCACTCCAGGAAAAATTCAAAGAAAATTGACTTATTTAGGCAAAATTAAGGAAAATTCACCTCTTGCATTTTAATTTTTTTCTAGAAAACTGACAACGGGAAAATTTTGAAACTTTTACAGGAGAAAAAGGAAAGTGAGGAGCCCATTAGAGGAAAATTTCAAAATTTTCCAGTGAAAAATCACTCAAAGAGAAAGTTATTTATATATTTTTGGATAACTAAATAAACTCTATTCTAAGTTAAAAAATGTATTACAAAACAATAATTCCGAAGGTGCTCCATGAATTAATTTATGACCTGCCTTTTTCTCTAAGTTATGACGTCATGACGTAAGTAAAAACCTTCATGCCATGCAACGAACTATATATGTTTGTTTGAAATTTCAGACATAAAAAAACCTATTAGGCAATTCAATCCATCTGTCAGATAGGAAAATTCAATATGGCGTGGCGGCCAAGCCAGTTTGTTTTGAATGTGTTTTTATGCGTATTTCAAATTATTTTGGTTAGAGTTTTGCTTGCAACTTTTATTTGGATTATTTAATAAAATATTTGTTGACTAGGTACCTAAACTAATAAATCGGGCAGAATCTAGATATTTTTTTGTGTTTTTTGGTCCATGTGTGGCCGCCACGCCATCTTGAAAGTCACGTGGTTTGAATTGCCTAATTTTTCGGAAAAAAGGCAAATGATGACGTAAATACAAACTCTCGTGAAACTAACTTTTTTTTACGCGTCACATCGTCGAGTGACTAAAAGACATGCTTTCGTAACGTGTTGTATACAAGATTTTTTCTACTGGCGTTTTATCATAAAAATATAATTTTATTTCAAGTGAACAAGAGCCGATCATGCCTAAAATGTTTGACACCTGCTACCTGCTTTTGCTTGACACCTTTCATGGGGTTTGTTTTTTTTTTTTTAATATTAGAGAATTGTAGTAGGCCATCATTGCGTTGCTTTGAGTAACTATCAAAATTTGTTTATTAAATATTGTCACCACAGATTAACCCGTCCTAGGACGGGTTAATCTGTGATTGTCACTTTATGTCAAAAAATATTTCAAAACAAGTTTTTCTAAAAGTAGTGCGAGAACGTTGAAGTAATAAAGAATGAGCGACTTGGAAGATTCTGATATAGAAAATGCGGCAAATGCTGCAATCTGCAATGGTGACACTCGTTCCAGAATAGTCGAGAAAAATATACGAGACAACATTCCACAAATTTCAAAGTTGGTATAACGAGAAGAACGTCAAAAATTTGTCCGAAAAAGTAGTTTTGGCCTATTTTTCAAAATTGTCTGATGCCTATAAGCCGTCAAAACTTTATGGAGTACTTACTCAATGCTCCGAACCATGCTTTATTTGGATAAAAATGTCGATATAAGTAAATTTACGAATGTAATTGCATTTTTGAAGAGAAAATCGACAGGGTATAAGCCTAAGAAGTCTCGAGTATTTTCCAAGGAAGATATGGAACGATTTATTAAGGAAGCAGACGATAAAGACTTTCTACTGGCCAAAATTGTTCTTATTGTGGGAGTCGCTGGTGCATGTCGCAGAGAAGAGCTCACATGGTTAAGAATGGAAAAAATCGAGATGTCGGCATCTTTTATTAAAATAAGTATTCCCAATACGAAAACAAATGTGCCAAGATGTTTTATAATAAGTGAGGGTTCTATCGAAAAAATTAACTTGTTGGATATTTTCCGGAAGTACGCCCACCTACGCCCAGCACATACAGCTCATCAAAGATTTTTCCTCAGATATAGGAACTCCAAATGCTCCACGCTGCCAGTGGGCATCAACACTATTGGTGCAACACCAAAAAAAATTGCCGAGTATTTGGGACTTCCAATGGCGAATGAATATACAGGCCACTGTTTCCGAAGATGTTCAGCGACTTTTTTAGCAGATTCTGGAGCTGATATAACGATGCTCAAGCGTCATGGAGGTTGGCGGTCAAATTCTGTAGCCGAGGGGTACATTGAAAACTCGCTGGAAAATAAAAGGAAGGTTTCCAAGAGAATTCTTGGCGAAAAACCAGTGCGAACTGAAAAAGTAAAACGTACTGAGCCTGAAGAAATTCAATGCGAAAGCAGCTATGCCAGTGAAGTGGTTAAAGTAGCTGCTTCAAATTCATTTGCTTTTTGTGGTTCGACTTCGACATCAATTGAAATATTACAGAAGGAAACACCTCAACCGAGACCTCAACCTTCTGTTTTGAGTACCCCTGGTATTCAGTTTAGTAGTTTAAATAATTGTATTTTCAACATTTATAATAAATAGATAAAAATTAAATCTGTTTTTTATTATGAGTGACACTTTTAGGCACTAGTGCCTAAAAGTATGTCATTTAAAAACTAACATGACAATCTAAAAGTCACCATTATGAAACGTCAGTAGAAAAACAAATATACATACCTCTAACAGTTGGTATATCGGGGCTGGCATCGTGCTGAAGCAAATAAATAACAATATTCATGCACCCCATAAAACTGGCAACATGTAACGGTGTTAGGCCGCTCTCCGTAGTAGCTCCAATACTAGCTCCGTGCTTGATCAACAATTCAACCATCTTAAGGCGGTTCTTCTTGCAAGCAATGTGCAACGGTGTAAATCCATTCAAAGCCCTAGCGTTCACATCGGCACCGCGTTCTAGCAACAGTTTGGCAACCCTCACGTGACCGCAATGAGCAGCCACATGCAACGCTGTCAGATAGTCTACAGTGACTTCGTCCACAGGAGCTCCGTGGTAGAGCAAAATCCTAGCTGCATCTACGTGTTCGCCCTGAGCTGCCATGTGAAGCGGTGCGAGACCGTTTTTGGTTTTGGCGTGAATAGGAGCCCCGTTTTCTAAAAGCATATCGACAACCTGGTCGTGCCCGCTCCTAGCGGCACAGTGAAGTGGAGTCAGACCGTCGCGGGTTTTGGCTTGAATGTCGGCTCCTTTGGATACCAAGAGGTTGACCATGTTGATCTTACCCCATTTGCTGGCTACGTGGAGGGGCGTGATGTTGTGTTTGGCTGTGTAATTAACGTTGGCACCCTAAAAAAAATCAAAATTTGTTAAAGTGATTTATTACAAATTTATTATTGTTATAGTTGAGTCGAACTCGTTGTTGTTTTGACACAAATCAACTCAACTGCATACAATGAGGAGTGGAATAAACAGGAGAGATAAGAGAAAACTTTTATAAACCGAAGGCTGGTGAATGAACCAAATTATCTGGAAGATGTAAGTGGTTTAAATGCGATAGCAAATGAGTCAAGTCACATTGGACTACATATAGGCTTCCAGATAATGGTTCAAAGAAGTCTCGTTCAGTAAAATAACTAAAAAAGCTTCTAGAAAAAAAATATGGCAGCTTCTTCCATTTTTAGACAGGTTCTATTGTGATAACTGGGAATTCAAACAAAGAGGATTTCTGGAATAATCATAGGAAAATTATCCAAGTTTATTTTCTAACAACCAGTAACCATGGCTAGTAACTAGCAGAGATAAATACCACAGCATATACAAAAACAATCAGCAGGCTAACTCGAGTGACAGCCCGTGTAATAAAGGAATTCATGGTCGGGATGTCACTAGTGGCCATTTTGGGATACGAGACAGGGCCTGATTAACAATAATTTAGGTTTTTTCTTTCGTGTCACAGAGTCGTATTCGTTTTAAATAAACTGATTTATTATTACTTACATATAATAATATTTATAATTAGTAGTTTATTATTATTAAATATACAACAATGATAACAGATAACACCATAAATGACAACACGAATATATTAAAATCACTTTGAAAATCATAACTGAAATTCCGCTCTACACCGCACGCCTATGACCACCGTCAGAAATAAACAATTAAATTGAAATGTCGGCGCCCCTGACGCTTAATGACAATATGATATCCCCTAATGGCGGCGTGCGCAAAAAAGATGCGCGTGAGAGTTAGCCTGCTGATTGTTTTTGTATATGCTGTGTAAATACTACATAAACTGTAGAGAATGGAATCTCAGTGTAAATTTTGTTGTCAACAAAATTGAGCCAAGCCAGCGCCATCTACCATATCGGAAAATCACTATTTACTGGTTTTGCATTGATGCTACAGACACCTACTTTACAAAGGACTTTTTATGATAGATGGCGCCTTGTTCGCATTACTGTCGGTCTGTTCAAATTCGTTTATTCTGGACTTTGAGGCATTAATGTTTGTTTAAATTAATTAATAATTTGTTAATTAGATCAAAAGACAGTTTCTTTATCAATGGTTAAGGGTATTCTTACCATATTTATTCAAAGTTCTGATTGATGTTTAATTGAACCTGCACTGGCGTAGCCAGGATTTTGTCTTGGGGGGGGGGGTGGGGGCAAATTTGCAGGAACGCCGCCGGGGGCCGGCAAAGCGCCGCAGACGCGAAATTTTTGGGTGCCACGCCCCTTTTTTAAGGTTCTTTACGGTATTTTTGGGTCTGTTTATTTTAATTTTGAAAAATTATTTATAAAATTTGAAGGTTTTGGGGGGGCAAATGCCCCCTTGCCCCCCCCTGGCTACGCCAGTGTAAACCTGTCATTTATCTAATCAACAAAGATAAAAATAGATCTTCCAATCTATAAAGTTTGAAGTTCTTCTTGAAACACACAAAACAACTTTGAAATCACTTAAGAACACACAAAGAAAGATGAAATGCAAGACTGGCGAACAAAAAACATTATGAATTATTAGTTATGATGAAATGAATATTGTGGCATATTGTCATATGTTGACATGTCAATCTCATGTCAATGTTATCGACATCGGACGTATTCTTGCCTTGCGTTCGGTATTTTGCTCAAAGTGTAGAGCGAGCTGAGCGGAGCCGTAATCACGTGACCAGCGAGCGAACGGAGCAGTTGAACGCTGTATAAAAGTACCGGAAATTTTAATAAACGAACGCGAATGAGGCTGCACCGAGTACACTTTTTAAATAAACGAACGCCTGACGGCTCGCGATTTTGTCAAAAATGTCATTCGCGAAATTGCCAAGCAAAACTTTCATACCTTTTGAAAATTTTGCCGACAAAATTTTTTCTCTTGTGATATTATACAGGGTGTCCATTTAATACTCCGGTATTCGATTGGGGCTACGTCGTTGAGCGGATAAAAAATTCAATAGGTGGGATGTTAATGAGGTTATAGGGGCTACATTTCAAAATTAGTTAGGCTTATACAGGGTGTCCCAAAAAAGCATGGCACAGAATTTGATTTTTTTTTATATGGATGGACCTAAACTAAGTCATCCTCAGGGCACAAAAATTATTATTATTTATTTATACAGTTTTTATCATTTCCAATACTATTATTTTCTATTTTGAATTGAACAGGATCACAATGGTCCGTGGAATAGGCCTTGACCTTGAATAAAAAAAGTCCAGGTACTGGATCGATGGGAACTTTTCAACATTCATTTATAATAGTGTTCCGAACATTCATACCAATTTTCAGCTCGATGGGAATTTTTGTAACTTCACTACTATTTTTGGTAGTATTTTGACCGGATTATTATTGGGTATATTAATTATTTATGAACGGAAAGAGGACAATACGCACCCTTGCTTCAACAGTGACACAACTCAAAAAATGGGCTTTTTGAGTTATTAATGCCAATTAATTAGACAAATGGCAGCAAATATCCAGTTAAGTTCTCCATAATTTTGTAGAGGGCGCGAGTGAATTTGGAGTGCTTCAAATTTTGGCGGTAAATGTCAATAGTTTTAAACCATTCAAATTGAGTAGAAGGAAAGATGACTACAATATGAACAATGGACAATAAATAAGTTAAAATATCTTCCAAAGCATTTAGTGGCCCTTAGAGAATAGTATCAGCGTCAGCTTGTCTTGAAACTACACATCAGACTTAACTTTTGAGGTAAAAATTACAATCAATTATTTACGCGCCAAAATTTAAATAGCTCCAAGTACAGAAGCGCCCTCTTCAACTCAACTGTCAATATTACATGCCATTGCGTTCTCTCGATCAACTAAAGTGTATTAAATTAGCTTTTCGAGTTGACCAGTAGATGGCGCTTGTGTCAGTTTTAATGATCCATTCAGGGTAAAAATGTTTTCAGAAAAGTGACACATTATTAGTTATGCCCCGGCTTCCAAGATAGGTGGATGTACGTGCTGCTCTTCAAAAACGACGTATTTTGAGTTGTGACGTTCTTGTTGAGTGATACATAGTATTTAAAGTGTGTTATTTGGACTTGTGTCAGTTTTGATGGAAGAGAAGGCGTTATCAATTTGTTTCATTTGTAAATGTGACATTTTTGAAGAATAAGCTAGGTGAAATAGCTATTTGAATTTTGAATTATGACATTTTAGATGAATTAAATTAATAGTTGGGGAGCTGGCGTCAAAAACATGCAAGAGTTTTCGCAAGGCGGATATTTTCAAAATAGGTCGTATTTTAGTGTTAGAATGCTAGTGTACAGTCAGCACTCACAGTTCCGGGACAGCTGGCTCTGGGACGCGGGCAAAGTTGTAAGAAGCATCTAAACTGTTCTCTCAAAGCTCAAAATTTATAGAAATTTTGCACATTATCTGTTGGAAGGTCACAGATAACGTATCTAAATCGTCAGACGTCTAGTTCGTTGCAAAAAGGGGGTCAGACGTCCTCAAAGTTTTTATTTTATGGCATTTTCTTCGGTGTCCTGTCAAAATATATTTTTGCAGGTATTTGACAAATATATTTGAAGAAAATGCCATAATATAAAAACTTTAAGGACGTCTGGGCTGGAACTCTGTAACGGATAGCGATCAATATCTCTATCTCTAGTGGCGTCCCCTCTCTATTGATTTCGATAAGAGAGAAGAAGACAGCAAGTGCCATAGCGATAGGGATAACGATCTCTATCCGTTACAGAGTTCCAGCCCTGACCCCCTTTTTGCAACGAACTAGACGTCTGACGATTTACATACGTTATCTGTGACCTTCAAACAGATAATGTGCAAAATTTCTATAAATTTTGAGCTTTGAGAAAACAGTTTAGATGCTTCTTAAAATTACAACTTTGCCCGCGTCCCAAAGCCAGCTGTCCCGGAACTGTGAGTGCTGACTGTACACTAGCATTCTAACACTAAAGTACGACCTATTTTGAAAATATCCGCCTTGCGAAAACTCTTGCATGTTTTTGGCGCCACCTCCTGGACTATAAAGAATACCTCGAATGCGTAGTGTAGATTACTACTATACTACTGAATATTATTTACACTTTAACATTACCTAGGTATTATTGACAGCATTAGGTACTAAAAAAATAGTAAACAGTAGGTATGTGAAAACACTAGACTTGAATTTACCTTACAGGTTTTCGCCACGGGCAGCATGTCGTCGGCACGAGCAAAGAAAATTTTAGCTATGGCATCCAAAGCATACGACGAAAATAATCTTACATCTCTGCCAAATACAACATGCTTTACTCAGGTAAACAAACAAAAAATTATTATACTTGCCTGCATTATTGGGCTTTTGGCGCAATCAAAATTCTTTTTGAAAAATTAATGATACTTGCATTAATTTGATCACAGAGATTCCAACCAACACTCACAAAAATTAGTCTACATTATTCAGAAAAAAATGTTACATTTTTTTTTTAAGTTACAATAAGCATTTTTATTGTAGGAGACCATTGTCGAAGATACAAGTCTGGATGAAATTTCAGATGATTTCACTCCAAATTCCGAAAAAAATGTCTATTTCACTCAGAAAAAATGCTCAGATTCAACAGAACCGACTGGTTTTTCTCCTGACTGTCAAAATAGTACTCTCTCTTATGACGGAATCAAGAATGGAGTAGTTAACAAAAGTTGTGATAACCAAAATGCCATAGCGCAAACCAGTTTGGCAATAGAAAGTGAAGAAGGTTCTGAAGGTCCGCTCTTCAGTTTAGCTCAGGTAAAATCACGACCGAGCCAGATAGCAAGCAATTGATTTAATCGAGGATTTAATGTCCACAACTAAAACTTTTTGAATTTGTAGGCACTTGATTTCGAACGTTCACCTGCGGTTCAAACTCTACCTGACATCATTGAAAATGACGAGAATGTATCAGGAAATTATTCTCAAAAAACCCTTCATATTGATGCGAATTCCTCTGAGCCTCATAATGAAATACCCCACCCCTTGCCCAATACGGATACCACTGAGCAGCACCAAGAGCCGACTAAGGAAAATGCAGAGGAGCCAGGTTCTTATGTACCGAAGCCAGGTTGTTCTGCGGAGAAGCCAAGTTCAGAATACTCTGTATCATACGATGATGAACGCCCTACAATTTTACGATTAACAAAAAGGAATTATTATGTTTCACCACTCCATAGCGACGAAAGCGATATTGACGACTCTGATGCCGACCCCAATTTCACGGTCGATAATTCTCCAGAGGCTGGACGAAGTTCACACGATACTGACAAAGAAAATATTCAAAGCGATGAATCTGTGTTAGCAGAACCAGATAATACGAATAAAGGAAAGAAAAGGAAACTGAATGCACAAGAGTGGGGAGTGAAAAAGACGAAGCTACTTCGAAATTCCGGTAAGGCTTATACTTCCTGTTCCAAATCAAAGAAGAAGTTTCCTGAGAGAAAACTTCGGCTTGTACGGAAAAATGTAGATTAGGTTGTTCTGCAAAAATCAGTGAGGCAGTAAGAGAAGATATTTTTCGCACCTATTGGGCCCCAGCCGATCTAGAAAAGCAGAGAGAGTTTATTTCTGCCCATATACTGGAGATATAAAGCCAAAATACCGATATTCAAGTACTCAGAATTTCCGTAGGATGAATACAGCATTTTACTTCGACGTTAACAGTAATCGTATCAGAGTTTGTAAGACATTTTTCAAGGCAACACTTGATATAAACAATAGGCCTATTCGCACAACTGTGATGAAGAAAAGTGATACTGGGTTTCTGTCCCAAGATAGAAGAGGTAAACATGGAAAGCAACTGGTTCTTGCTCCAGAAATAAAAGATAGTGTGAGGAGATTTATAAGCGCAATACCTACAATAGAATCTCACTATCTTAGAGCACAAACAACTCGGGAATACATAGAAGGAGGAAAAAGTTTAGCAGATTTGTACAGAGACTATAAGGAAGAACGTGAGAGGCATCATTTACCAATAGCAAATTCAGATGGCGAATTTAATATTTCGTTTTATGCCCCGAAAAAAGATCAATGCGATCAGTGTGAATCATACAAAAACTCAGACCAAGAAGGAAAAGCTAGGCTGGTTGAATCTTACAATCTCCATTTGGAAAAAAAAGCTCTCTAGGAAACAGAAGAGTATTGACAAAAATATAGCAGCTACCCATGTAGCAGTGTATGACTTACAAGCAGTATTGCCTTTGCCAAAAGGATAGGTTTCTTCCTTCTATTACAAAAGCAAACTTAATTGCTACAATTTCACTATAAGTGACCTGTATGCAAAAAACGTGGATTGTAATTTTTGGAACGAGACGGAAGGTAGACGTGGTGCAGTGGAAATTGGCAGCTGCATTCTTCATTACTTGAAATCGCTTGCTGAAAATCGAAAGACGGAAGACCTGAACGTAGTATTTTATCCCGACAATTGCTGCGGCCAGCAAAAAAACAAGTATATACTTGCTGCCTATTTTTACGCCATAACCAACTGTAAGATACGAAGCATAACACATAAGTTTTTAATACACGGCAATTCCCAGAATGAAGGTGACAATGTACACAGCGTCATAGAGAAACAGGTCAGACGACACCTCAAATCTGGTCCAATTTACGTTCCAGAACAATACGCCACCCTAATTCGAACAGCGAAGAAGAATGGTCCTCCATATAGAGTTCACGAATTCACGTTTGAAGACTTTTTTGATCTCAAAATTCTGCAAGAAGAACTCAGCAGTAATTTTAACATGAATACTGACAAATCAAAGGTGAAGTGGCACGACATAAAAATTATTCGGGTTGAAAAAGATGAACCGCGTATTTTTTATTATAAAACATCTTATAAAGATGATAACTTTAAGATGGTAGACGTTCTCAAAGCAAAAAAGACTCGATCCCAAGATAGGTTCGACTCAAAACAGTTAGTTCGAGCCTATGGGAAAAATTTAACGCTAACCGAAAACAAGAAGCGTGACCTACAAGAACTTGTTACAAAAAATATCATTCCTAAAAGTTATTATAACTCATTTTATAAAAATGTTGTTGAATTTTAATGTTTCGATAAGTCTAAATAAAAAATTTTGTTTTTTTGCGTTTATTTTTCGATTTTTATTTATTCCTATCTGCTAGATTGGTAATATTTCATTGTTAGTAAATAAACTAAATATTGATAAATAAATTTGGGCTGCTTCTAATTATTTTCCTTACCGTATGTACAAAAGAAAATTATATCACAAACAGATTGAAAGTGAAAATGTTATATCCAGTAAATCTTCAAAAGTGTCCTTTTGTGAAAAATCATCAACAAAAGTGTCTTAATTCAAAATATTTTTTATCAAATATATATAAGGAAACATCAAAAGTGGCATAACTCAAAAAATTTAATTTTTCGGAATTTCAAGGACACTTTCTAATTATAATCAATGACAGGATGCTTCTGAATGACTATGTAATTCATAAAAAACCTTATTTTACCTTAATCTATTTTAATAAGTTTTAGAACAGTTTTTCTCAATTTCTGGAAAACTATCTTTTTTGAGTTGTGTCACTTTTGAAGCAAGGATGCGAATAGAGAAATGAACTGTGCATAGTAGGTTTATAGGTATCTACTCCGTAAAAAAATCCATGATTGATTGGTGTTCGCGTAAAAGTCGTAATGAAAAAATGAGCAATTCTTAGTTTATTATCAATTTTTGAGAAAACGATTGGAGATAAAGGTACACATATTGGTATCACATTGAAGATAAATAAACACTTTAACGGAAAACGTCACTAGATATAGGGTGTCCTATTTAAAAAATTAGCGAAAAGCGCAATGGTTAATATCAATATTTGAATAACGATTTTGACCACCCTGTAGAAAAAAACCCAAATCTTAGACTATTGCGAGATAAAATGATCCCAGCTAAGTACTTCCATACATTTTCACAAAAAAATAAAAAATGGTGGTGTAGATATTAAAATTTAAGTGGTATACTGATTTCGGTAAAAAATTCTCTAAAATATTAATTACTTGGCAACGTCGCATTTGAGGGTAACAAAATATTTGGGGCTGAAAACACAGTCCAATGAGGCTCCAATGTCGGTGGAAAAATATAGGACATTCCATATGAAAAAAAATCAAATTATGTGCCATGTTTTTTTGGGGCACCCTGTATAAGCCTAACTAATTTTGAAATGTAGCCCCTATAACTTCATTAACATCCCACCTATTATAGTTATTTATCCTATTTTGACGTTTAAAAATGACATTATTGAACGCATGACAATAAAGGTAAGTAGACGTTTATCACCTCAGTAATTTAAAATAATTTTAACTCACTCTCGGCATTTTAAGTCACTCTGCCCAACTAAAAAGCTGAAACCTCAGTGATTTAAAATATTTTTAACTCACTCCCGGCATTTTTCCTTGTACTTAATTTTTTAAATTTCCACAAAATGGGATAAAATTTTGTATACATCACGTGAGTTAAAATGTTTGTTCATTCGAAGAAAATTAACCCACTCGCTGGGGCTCGTGAGTTAAACTTTCTTCTCATGAATAAACATTCATTTAACTCATTTGGTGTATAAATAACTATTATGTATCAAGGGAATTATGAGGGTGTTAATACCCCAGGGCAAAGTTTGTGTCCCAAAAGACACCAATTGCCCGTGGGTATTAACACCTGATAACTCCCGTGGTACATAGATAATTTTATTTCCTACTGAATTTACTGTATTTTGTCCATTTTTATTAAGAAATAAACCATAAACCAAAATTTCTATTTTTTGTCAAAGTTTACCTATTAGGTATTATATGGTTATAATAGTTCAGTAGGAAATAATAGTTATTTATCCCATTAAAAATGACATTATTGAACGCATAATGACAAAGGTAAGCAGACGTTTATCACCTGAGTGACTTAAAATATTTTTAACTCACTCTCGGTCTTTTAAGTCACTCTGTCAGTATAAAAACCTGCTACAAATACAAACAAACAACTAGTTATACCTTAGCAACCACCAATTTCAATAATTAGCGCTTTCATAACTACTAAATGAATTCTTTTTATAATTTGATTTTTTACTTTTTAAATGTCCATCAAAATGGGATAAAATTTTGTATAAATCACGTGAGTTAAAATGTTTATTCATTCGAAGAAAATTAAAAGTTAAACTTTCTTCTCATGAATAAACATTCATTTAACTCACTTGATGTATAAATAACTATTAAATCACTGAGGTGATAAACGTCTACTTACCTTTATTGTTATAGGTTCAATAATGTCATTTTTAAACGTCAAAATGGGATAAAAAAAATTATCCACTCAACGACGTAGCTGCAATCGAATTTTGGAGTATTAAATGGACCCCAATATGATAATTTTATTGTCAATTCTTAGTTAATTTCGTGTAAATTGTGTATTTTCATCTGCAATGTGTGCGTGCAAATGAAGGATGCGATGATGAAGATGTTGAAGGATTATGTAAATCTGTCTTGGTATTATGAGATATGTGTTGTCGTGGTGGCCGAGAGGTTAAACATAGCAAAAACCATTAAAAGATTAGATGTGCAAACACAGGAATGTCTGAAAAATTTGTCCGATCTATTGAAATCTTTCGAAGGTAGTGCTGAAAAAACGAAAATAGTGCTTGGGCCAGTGTCGTCAAAAAAAATCAACATTATCCTATTATATTTTTTCGTGCAATCAATAGTTTAGAAGTTATATTGATATAAGTAAGGGCAAATTATTTAAATCGATGAAATACATTTGCTTGCAGCCCGCCACTGCACTTGTTTCGCATATTGAGATTATATCCTTACTTACAGTGCGTCCAAGATAAGGATGAAATAGCAGACAAAAGTAAACTTTTGACTCGTGGGTGAAAAGTAAAAGTCAAAAAATAGATTGATGGTGGCCCAAAGACGAAATGTCAATGTCATTTTGTAGAGTAGAGATTTTGCAAAATGTCGTTTTTTTCTGGATATTTCGGAAAGTGTTCGGAATTTCTCAAATGTCAAAGTACCATTTTATTAAGCGTTAAATTGCGCAACTTTTTCCTGATCTAATCAACATTGTAACTCAACCTCTGAACCTCTCCAGATCCTAATATCATCCCATCCTTATCTTGGACACACTGTCTTGTCTGTCACAGGTCACCTAAATACAGATGCGTAAGGAAGTATTCTTGCCGTCGACGAATCATAGTGCGTGAGCGTGTTCCAGCCTGTTGTATTTACACAGGGTGAGTTACTAAGCGCGCGGTGGTCCATATCTCCTATACTAACGAATACTAACTTAATACAAAACATTCCTAAATTATTTTCCAGTATACAGGGTGGCTCAATAACTAGTAGTGACACAAAGTTATGTTTTTTTGAAATGACTCCCCCTGTATATTATGACATTTCTGGATTCTGCGGAAAATTCTAGACCTATTTCATGTACAATGTCATATAGGTACCTATCTTCAACTGTTTCGGAAATATTGACAGTTGAAAACTGACTTTTTTGCATCTTTGACAGATTGGAAAACCTGAACGGTTAATTTTACAAGAAAATGGATTTTACATTCCTATCTTAGTTTTTCATAATCTATCATTTGACACCAATCTTCGTTTGAACCGCCAAACCCCCCCCCCCCCCTCAGATACGGTCCTGACTCTGAAAATACTGATCATAGAAAAAAATACCTCACCTGAAACTTGTAGAGAATTTCGGCTGCCAGTTTTCCACCAAACGGCCTGTTGAGTTTGTGTTTTGAAAATGTTTGGGAAAAGTTAGAGTTTTGTCTCAGTTTAAAGTTTTGTTTTTGTTTTATCGGTTTGGTGGAAAACCGGCATACAATTCTTATTACAGCTACTTTTTGACTGGGAGGTACTGGTAGACAGATACGGTCAAAAAAATGCGAAACAACCAATGACCTATTATCACAGATAGACAGAGTATTCCATTCATAAAATACTATTTGTTGTGTTGACAACATGTATATAGGCCAGGGGGGGATTTGGAGTGCGGGCGGTCCATGGTGGGGATAAGTCGCCCGATCTAAGTCCGGCCTCAACAGCTATTCCCTGCCATGGACCAGACGCAATTGGTCTCGGTCCAAAACCAAAACGATGATATTCGAAAAGTATTCCAGACCAACACGAACATATATCTCATTTATCGGTCTTTTTTAAACATGTACTCAATCATCATCGCATAAGATAGAGACAACAAGATACTCTGGGCGAGAACGGAATGTACTACTATGACAAAGCATAAGGCGGAGTTTAGTCTAGTGCTGTGTTGCCAAGTGTAATTGAAAGGCTTTATACCCGCGTGAGAAAGAGAAAATAAATATTCCTACAACTAAATGTGGCATTTTAATAGTGGGGGAGTTTCGTCAGGAGTCAGGATAGAAAGAATCGGACATGTTGTCAACATATATTTTTGTTTATAAATCCGTCTATCTGTGGTTGTCAATGTTGTAGGTCATTGTAATAGGTAATGAGATTTCATGAAAATTTTCAACAGAAAAATCAATTTTATACCAGACAAGCTAATGGAAGAGGTGTAAACGTTGAAAAATAATTCGGGCAATCAGAGCGATTTTAAGTTGTCAGGATTTATTAATTAGTGCCTTCTCAGGAATCAAAACAACTCAGAAATGGATCTAATTATGATTGTTTTTCACACAAACAATAATAATAATTATTGTCTTACCTTATCGTATAACAACGAAGCAACTTTATCGTTACCATAATGAGCGGCAATATGCAGCGGAGTAAACCCGCTCTTAGAAGTCACGTCGGGATTATGCTCGTTTTGCAGCAACAAAGCGGCAGCTTTGACGTCGTCCTTTTTGGCAGCGATGTGAAGAGCTGGAAGACGCACTTTACCTCTGGTGTCGTTTTCCAGAAGCACGGCGACCACTTTGTCGTGGCCTTGTTGCATCGCCACCGCCAGCGGTGTGAATCCATCCTATACAAAACAATGTAAGTATTTATTTAATTGCTTTCCAAATGGTTTTGTAATTATTCAATTAAACATTTAATTGGAAAGTTTGTATGTATTAATTTATTAACTGGTACGATTGTGTCATTATTGTTAAAAATACTATTATTCTGTGTGTACAGTACACAGCGACTGTTAGTGTATTTCACCTTGAATTTTCAAGAAGCTTCTCAATCTATTTACCCTAATACTAATACATATGTCAATAAACAGTTATACTAAAGTTCTATGACAATACAAATTTTCAATTAATCAAATAATACCTCTGTAGCCAAAGTCTGATTGGCTCCTTTGGACAAAAGGTACCGTACGACACCATCGTGGTTCTCTTGAGCCGCCATATAAAGCGGCGTGAATCCATTTTGCGATTGTACATTCAAAGAAGCGTTCTGTTGCACCAGAAGCCGTACCACTTCTTCCTGGCCGGCTGAAAATTAATGTGGTACCATTAAAAAAAGAAAATAATTATTTTCAAATTATTAGTCATTCCACTTTGTTGTCTGTAGGCAAGATTTGTTGTAGTGGTAACAGGTGAGTGAGCACTTGCCGCGAGACCAAGCAGAGCATGACTTCCTGGGTAATTTTTTTTTAGTCTGGTTAATATTAACTAAAATTAAAATTTACTCCTTTACTAAATGTTTGTAAATAAAAAAATTACCTAATGAAGCTATATGCAAAGCGGTATTTCCTTTTTTGGTAGCAGCGTCCACGACAGCTCCTCTCTTTAACAATTCTCGTGCAATGTCGACGTGCCCATCCTTAGCGGCTAAGTGAAGGGCATTCAATCCATTCTAAAATGATTTACATTTTTTTAAAATAAAATCCAAAGTGATATTTTATTCAAACTTACTGCATTAGATGTATTGATGTCTCGCACTGTGCCAGAATCTAAGTACTCTTGGATTTTGTCCAGCTGTCCTGCCCTAGCTGCTCTCAAAAATGCCGTATTCGGATCAGTCTGGAATAAATTAAATGGAATGTGTTTAATATTTAAAATATTATTCTATAAGAAATAACTTTTTTAACCATTAATCAAAATATAAAGAAACGCAACAGATTCAATTAAAATTCTCATCAGGTTTTGTGTTACCTACTTTAACCAAACAAGGCTTACTAATTTAATTAAAATTTATTACACTATTGTTTTTCAGCTTTCACTGTGGCGAGCAAATTGAAAAATCTATACCTTGCCATCTGAAGCAGTTGAATTGGGGTATTTTTCCGGACTACCAATGGGCCATATTTTTTTTTTAAACCTAAAACTTCTTCGTAATCTGTTCAATATCATTTTTGAAGCAAAATGAAATCAAGCACTGTCAACAAACAAACTAATTAGCATTAGCATGGAATAATTTAGAATTTCAACCATCAAACATGTTCGACGAACGCGAAAAAAGTGTCTTGATAGGTCAACTATCTGGGCTATTGAGGTATTAAATACATTTTTAATTGAATTAGTTTGGAAGCCAATATTAGACGATTCTGCGTATTTATATGAAATCTATAGGTTCAGAATTGACATAGGTGGGTCAAAAACATTATATACCCCAGGGAAATTAGACTTCCTCTGCAGAATGAGGCCGAAAAAGCTGAATTTTTGCAGAGACCTTTGTTTTGATAAAAGCGCAAAAAAATCGAATATGCCTACCCTTCAGTGTTATCAGATGTCAAATTTAAAATTATCAGGATTTGAGAACAAAATTATCAGATTCCAAAAAAAATTATCAGAAAAAGTTTCTGTCAACTTTTTTGACTTTTTATTTCTATTTTCATTTTTTGGGTTCTAGCTGGGACTCTGGCAATTATAGCTCTCAATAAGAGCTTCAAAAAAGATTATTAAAGACTTCGAGCCCAAGGGCTTCATTTTCAAGATAATTGGCTTTGAAACTTTTGCAAAATTTAAAACAAAGTTTTAACTTTGAACCTCAATATCTTCAAAAGTATTTAAGATATAAAATTGAATCTTATTTTATCTTGAAGATTATTTAATTCTGATTCAGAATATATAATTTTAGATCATATTTATTATAATAATAACCTAGTATATTAGCAATTTTGTGAAAGAATATCAGATTATTGAAATTTTTTGAGCCCAGAAATTGCAAATATCGTTTTTATTTTTTTACAAGCCTTAAAACCCTAAAAACAAAGTTGCCTAAATGCTTTTCCACTAATTTTCACCTCCTCTTTTGATTAGTAAAGCCAAAAATTGCAAAATCCAAAAATTTAAAAATTCTAACTTTTTCCATTTGATTTCCAAATAATTCGAAGGGCCATATTTTGGAAACTAGTGAAGCTGTTGGCATGAATCTTTTGCCCAATTGTAGCTCTTAATAAGGGCTACAAAAAAGGTTATTTAAGACTCCGAGCCCAAGGGCTTCGTTTTCAAGATAATCCGCTTGAAAGCTTTTGCAAAATTTGAGGTAAAGTTTCAACTTTGAGCCTCAATATCTTCCGAAGTATTTAAGATATAGAATTGAATCTTATTTTATCTTGAAGATAATTTCATTCTGATTCAGAATATATAATTTTAGATCATATTTGTTATAATAATAACCGAGTAATCAGCAATTTTGTGAAAGAATGTCAGATAATTGAAATTTTTTTTAAACCCAAAAATTGCAAAAATCGTTTTTATTTTTTAACAAGGCTTTAAAACCCAAAAAGGAAAGTTGCGAAAATGCTTTTCTATCAATTTTAACCTCTTCTTTCGATTGATGAAATCAAAAATTCGAAAAACTGAAAATTTAAAAATTCAAACTTTTCCAAATGTATGCATGGAAATTTGATTTCCAAATAATTCAAAAGGCCATATTTTGGAAACTAGTGAAGCTATTGGCATGAATCTTTTGCCCAATTGTAGCTCTTAATAAGGGCTACAAAAAAGGTTATTTAAGACTCCGAGCCCAAAGGCTTCGTTTTCAAGATAATCCGCCTGGAAGCTTTTCCAAAATTTGAGGAAAAGTTTCAACTTTGAGCCTCAATATCTTCCGAAGTATTTAAGATATAGAATTGAATCTTATTTTATCTTGAAGATAATTTCATTCTGATTCAGAATATATAATTTTAGATCATATTTGTTATAATAATAACCGAGTAATCAGCAATTTTGTGAAAGAATGTCAGATTATTGAAATTTTTTTAAGTCCCAAAAATTGCAAAAATCGTTTTTATTTTTTAACAAGGCTTTAAAACCCAAAAAGGAAAGTTGCGTAAATGCTTTTCTACTAATTTTAACCTCTTCTTTCGATTGGTGAAGTCAAAAATTCGAAAAATTGAAATTTTAAAAATTCGTACTTTTCCAAAGGGATATGTATGCATGGAAATTTGATTTCCAAATATTTCAAAGGGCCATATTTTGGAAACTAGTGAAGCTATTGGCATGAATCTTTTGCCCAATTGTAGCTTTTAATAAGGGCTACAAAAAAGGTTATTTAAGATTGCGAGCCCAAGGGCTTCGTTTTCAAGATAATCCGCCTGAAAGCTTTTGCAAAATTTGAGGTAAAGTTTCAACTTTGAGCCTCAATATCTTTCGAAGTATTTAAGGTATATAATTGAATCTTATTTTATCTTGAAGATAATTTAATTCTGATTCAAAATATATAATTTTACATTATATTTGTTACAATAATAACCGAGTAATCAACAATTTTGTGAAAGAATGTTAGATTATTAAAATTTTTTGAGCCCAAAAATTGCAAAAATCGTTTTTATTTTTTAACAAGGCTTTAAAACCCAAAAAGGAAAGTTGCGAAAATGCTTTTCTACTAATTTTAACCTCTTCTTTCGATTGGTGAAATCAAAAATTCGAAAAACTGAAATTTTAAAAATTCAAACTTTTCCAAAGGGGTATGCATGGAAATTTGATTTCCAAATAATTCAAAGGGCCCATATTTTGGAAACTAGTGAAGCTATTGGCATGAATATTTTACCCAATTGTAGCTCTTAATAAGAGATACAAAAAAGGTTATTTAGGACTCCAAGCCAAAGGGCTTCGTTTTCAAGATAATCCGCCTGGAAGCTTTTGCAAAATTTGAGGTAGAGTTCCAACTTTGAGCCTCAATATCTTTAGAAGTATTTAAGATATTGAATTAAATCTTATTTTATCTTGAAGATAATTTAATTCTGATTCAGGATATATAACTTTACATTGTATTTGTTACAATAATAACCGAGGAATCAGCAACTTTGTGAAAGAATGTCAGATTATTGAACTTTTTTGAGCCCAAAAATTGCAAAAATCATTTTTATTTTTTTACAAGGCTTTAAAACTCTAAAAACAAAGTTGCGAAAATGCTTTTTCACTAATTTTGATCTCCTCTTTTGATTGGTAAAGTCAAACATTGCAAAATTCAAAAATTTAAAAATTCGAATTTTTCCAAAGGGGTATGCATGGGGATTTGATTTTCAAATATTTCAAAGGGCCATATTTTGGAAACGAATAAAGTTAATGGCATGAAACTTTGGCTCAATCTGGGACTAGCTTAGAACAGGTAAAGGTAAAGGGGAGTAGTACCTGGATTTGGAAAGTGAGGCCGTTTTTTTCCAGGTATTTTGGCACCAAAAAAATGGCTGGATAGGCAATTTAATGCTTTACCTGTATTTTGGTGCCAAACACCTGCCAAAAACTTGGCTTCACTTTAGTTTCATAAGCAGAATGGCACGTTCCTACTCCTTTTGTTTGTAGGACAACGCTTTACCTGCTCTAAGAGTGAAACGGCTTGTTAGGGGATGAATTTACCCCTAAAATACTAAAAACTAAAAGGACCTGAACTAAAGGGAAGGTGGTAAAAGGGAAGTGTCGGGCTAGCTGCTCGCGGAGAGTGGTCGTGCGGTCATGAACACTAGTCAAGTATTCGATAATCCGATCTCAAAAAGGGCGCCAGTGACCTTTGATTTGGACACTCAAAAGTAGAGAAGCCGGTCTCGTGAATCTCGAAAAAATATCTCTAGTAAGGCTCAATAGCTAATTCTGTATAAATCTAATTTTAATGAATATGCTGAAATCGAATAAGCAATAAATACCCAAAAGACAGTTTCATTAGAAAGATTCCAACTTATATTTTTATATGATGGATTTATAACGTATAAGAAAAAAATGACAGTTATTGTTAAATTAGTACTCAACTACCAGTATTGATAATAAAAGAATTAGGTAATGTATTTGTTGTAATTATAATTTTCCTGATTAAAAGAATTGTATATGTATATCTATATATATATCTGGAATTTAAGAATTGTCTAAGGCTAAATTTACCAACTAATTGGCTTTTCTGAAATTGCGCACATTAACCTTTGGGATCACAGAGGCCTTACAAGAAGGTCCTAAACTTAGACGTCCTAAATATATTATTTTAAATTCCTTTATGGCAGTACTTCAAATTATTAGGTACTCGTTTCATTCAAATCAATTCCAATAATAGGAAAATGTATAGTTATATAATGGTTTATCTAAGCAGTCAAATAAATTTCAATAATAAGAAAGAAATATAGTTATAAAATGACTTATCTGAATAGTCGAATAAATTTCAATAATAAGACAAATGTATAGTTTCTAGAATAACCCCAAAATATTATTAAAATCAAATGCCCACTGGATTTATCATAATTCCCTCAAAATAAATTATGTAAATCAACATAACGTAATAATTACCCATTCAATAAAATCGGTCCCTATTCATTAATTTAATTCCTTCAAAAATCCCTAATAAATCTAAATTTACTTACACACTGCAGAGTGTGGTTTTGAAGCCACGATGATCAGCTTTCTAGGGGGTTGAAAATGGAAAACCTCCCCGAATATGTAGAGGGATTACCAGACTATAAATACCGGGAAAAGAACCCATAAATACCCAGGAAATATTACAGAAATTACATCAGAATATCACAACATAAAATTGTTGGGATTAAAAATTCCATGATATAACTTACCCACAAAATGGCGTCAAGATTTTCGAC